CTGTGACATTTGAAGAGCACCTCCAAAACGGTATTTTGCTGCCACGTGCTATGCAGACAAAGTTGACAGATTGGATGAATCTTTCCTTGCCTTTGTAAGGGTGTCAGGTGTTGCCCTCTTTTCAAGAAAATAAAGGAGCTAAATCCCACTGAATGAATTTAAGATTTTTGTCAGGCTGATTTCTGGTTGTCTGGCTTTGCAGGCCGTGGCAATGTCATCATCGTATCTCTCCTTGTTTTTGTTTTTTTCAACCCTTGCCGATTACTTTATTTAAAAAAAAATGTTGTCAAGTTCTACTGCACTTAAGAGAAATGGCTGAATAAATATCTATGGGCGAACAGATTCGGCATTTCTATTAAAACTCTGATTTTGTGTTTTGCACTCAGCACATAATTTTGAAACTTATATTCTCTTAGAATACACCAAATGCACATTTGCATTTTCTCTCAAGCCACACATCATGAAATAAAACTCAGTTCATGAATTAGTTAGTTTTCATGCTTGTCCACAACTTCCAAAAGTGCAAATGCAGCAAGAGTTAAAACCCAGGGCCCTGAACTTGACAGAGGACTCAGACCACCCAACTAATCGCAAATCATAGATATGGCAATCATTGACCCCTAATTCACGGGTCAAACTCGTGATGTCATGATGTCAGTACGTGACATATCGGGACATTTTTCCCCTTCGTTAAACCAGGGATGGGTGTGACCAGCACATGAACGCATCTGGCCCGTGGCCTGAGAATTTCTCACCCCTGTACTAGTTTATAAATTCCTGCAACCATTCTTCATATGTTTTAGCCTCCAGGCCCCTATTCATCTTTGTTGCTCTTCTCTGCACTCTTTTTAGAGTCTCAACATTTTTTTATATTGTCGCTACCAATATGATATTAAAAAATTATGATAGTCAACCAAGAGGTGCTTAAGACTACTACATGTGTCTTGTTAGACAGTGACTACCATAAATACCATATTGTTAGGATATAGAGACTTAAGAGTAAATAAATGCATTATTTCCCATATCTATGACCTGTATATTGCATCATAATATTGCCCCTAATTGTAAATCAGGGAATAACCAAGCTTCCTTAGAAATATTTGGATCAAAATTTTATCAAGAATAAAATAGCTGTAGAAGTTATTTGAGGGGCTTAAATATGGATACTTGTTTAAAATCAGAATTTTGAAACAATAGCAAAAACTCAGGCTTGAAAGAAGACAATATTTTGAAGTTGGGAGCTGATCCAGTAGTGCAAACGTGGCACACTAAAGAACCTCTTTGTTTGTTTGTTCGTTTGTCATCTGTAAATTGCTCTATGATCTTTTCCAAGCCAGAATGCTGTGTTTGCTGCTTTTATTGTTTTAATCCTTTTTTTCTGTAAACTGGCCTTGTAAGCCACTTAGAATTGGTTACGACTAAAATAACTTGTAAGATGGGGGGGGGGGATTAAGCAATCAAATAAATGCAGCTAGAGTTAAGATGGATTGTTTCATATTTTTTATGAAAGCATACATACTTTTTAAAATCAAAAATAGCAAAACATTGACCCATTGTTATCATTTTCAAAATGTTATGCAGTTTTCTGTCTCTACAGACAGATCAAATATTGTAGTTGGTTCAATCTGAAGAAAATTGTTTTCATGAACTACAACAGTTGAAAAAACATGGGGGAAGGGGTAATATTTACAGAAAGGTCACATGAGGCATTGTTTTAATCCTCCAGGGTGTAAAGCAGTATTAAATCAGGTTAGTGGAGCTACAAGAAACTTGAAATGTCCATCAAGGCAGTGCTGTAAAGCACTGATCTCCAACCTGCTGCTATTAAAAAGCATTTCATTTGTTCAAGTCAAGGGATCCGTCTCATGTCCTGCTTCTGTTCTCTCCAGCCAGCTTAATCAAATATGGAAGCAGCACTGTTGCCACTAAAGGATTATTTTGCTTTATTGCTCAGGGCGAGATTGAATCATTGTGCTTCAATCATGATCTCTGGAGGAAAGTAATTATCTGAGGCCCAATCTCTGCAGGCAATGTATTTATTTTGTGCCAATGCTTGGTCCGCCCAAATAAACCCCACCCAGAAGATGGTGTGTGCCTCGGTAATGAAGCCTGGTCTATGTCCTCCATTTATGCTGCAGTGAAGCATCACAAACTGCTTCCCCCTTGACTTTTGGGGAGAGAGAGGCGGGAAAAGAAGAGGCGTGTCTGAAAGTTTCATGCATGGCAAATCCGAGATTGATTTTTGCCCTTCACCTTGTCCTTTAATTCATCCTTGCCACCTAAGTTATTAGCACTGTAGCCTTTGCCTGTTAAAGCTGTCTCACGCAGATACATGTTGGTTGATATTTACTAGGTCTGCCTATATTCACCTAGGCCCATTTTTACCACTGTTCATTAGGAATGTGTTATTGTTGGACTCCCCACCACAGTCTTTCAACTTAGCTCAGTCCTGTGCATATTCTTACCCTGAGATTTATGTTCTGCATCCACAAAAGAGGTCTTAAATCAACCAGACTGTTAACATCTCCAGTTCTGGGATCCTTGGAGATAAAATGCTGGTGTACTAATAGATGATTCATAGCTAGTCTTAAACAGAAAATAGCCTCATTTGTGCAGCTCTGTCCTCCGCGGGAAGGGCTGTGTGTGCGGCTATGAGTCCTTTATCCATCATCAGGTTGTACAAAGATTATACCAAGCTGGAATTTGGATACTTTAAAGTTTACATTGGCACAACCAAACAGAATTCACCAAAACAAATAAAATGCTATTTAGCTTTCTTGCATCCATTATTTTTCCCCTACTATTTGCTCTATGTCTTAAAAACATGCTATTAAAAAAAAAACCTCTAATATGTAATCAAAAGATTACATATTACACGCAGAAAGGAGCAACAAATTAGGGGACTGGAGACTAAAACACATCGAGAATGGTTGCTGGAATTGAATATATCTAGTCTAATGAAAGAAGGACTATAGGTGACATGATAGCAATGTTCCAATAAGGGGCTGCCATGAAGAAGAGGAAGGCCAACCTATTCTCCAAAGCCCCTGAAGGCAGGACAAGAAACAATGGATGGAAACTAATCAAGGAGAGAGACAACCTAGAACTAAGGAGAAATTTCCTGACAGCTAGAACAATTTGTCGATGGAACAACTTGCTTTCAGAAGTTGTGGGTACACCAACCCTGGAAGTTTTAAAGAAGAGAATGGACAATCATCTGTCTGAAATGATAAGAGGGCTTCCTGCCTGAGCAGGGTTTGGAGTACACGACCTCCAAGGTCCCTTCCAACTCTGTTATTCTCTATTCTATAGATAAGGTTGCAAACTCATTTTTATAATTGATTCTCTGTTTAATTTATGGAGCTCAGACTGGATGGAGATCTCATAGGTTGTCTGTGGAAGACCTTTCTACCCACCAGCTTTTATTTAAGTATGGATTATATTCAGGTGCTACATTATGTCCTATTGTTATTCTATATTGAATTTTGGCCTTTAGAGCTTCATGGAATGATCTATAGCAAAGCTGATATGAAACATGAACGGTAGCTAGTGAGGCTTGAAATTAGAACCACTCCCATTTTTTTTAAAAAAAAGGGCATAACCCATTTCAGATCTCTCTGAGAAACCTTTGAGACCATTCTAATTTAAACTGGATTCCATTCATCACCATACTTGCCTGTCAATAAATGCTTAGATTAATTTTGTTCAACACTTCAATTGATCAACCAGCCCTCCTCTGCCTATCCCCCCCTCATAAAATCAAAACTTCTCTATTTCTGCATTAGGAGAGGGAACATGTAATGATTGAAACAGCTTAATACTGTTTCTCATACTATAACTTGAAATAATTCACTAGAACATCCATAAACAACATTTCTGACTGCACCATGATGTTTACTTCTTATGAGAAGTTGACAAATCCATTCTCACAGCAGGAAATGATATTCTTGATCACAATGAGAAGGATCATTTTCAGGTAGATGCTGATAGTTAGCTGTCCATCTGTAAAACCTTCTTCTAAAGTAATCTGCTCCATTGGATAAAGGTTTTTGTAGAGTGAGAAAGGAAGCTATGACTTGTACAAAAGATTCATTTAGAAACCTTAAATACCTTCATTTAGAGCTGTACCACACATTACTACAGTAATAGCTTCTTTCCCCGCTTAGGAGCCATTCTCACAAAGAGCACAAGTTGTTTACCCTACAGAAGTCACCATGAGGATTTCCCCCTTACCAGCATAAATTGTTCCCAGAAATGTTGTTATCCTTATGCTATCTGCCATTGCATCATTAAACAAATTAAACAGAATATCTTTTGTTATTGGATGTTCCAAGTAAAAGGCAGCCAGTTCACACTTGTTTTTCAAAATGCTTTTATTAGATTTAGTTTGCAACAATTTGGGTAGATCTACTATAGTTAAAGAAATGCCTAGCTTCCCTTAACGTTTCATCTCTTGGATCTCTGAATATTTATCTGAATATTTGTGCTTTTATTCGACAGCTGTAACAGTTGCTTGATTCTGACCCACAGGTGTGATTTTTACAACTCCTGAAGTTTGAAAAGTGTTACACCAAAGTATTATTACTATTGCTGTTGTTTAAAAAGCTAAGACTGCCTAAGTGGCAGAATATATAGAAGATTTTTATCCAGAGGCAATTTATCATCTTAGTTATAGCAAAAGGACTGCTTTGTTTAGAAATTGGTTTATCTGAAGGAAAAAAGCTCATATTGTAATGATCAATTCTTGAATTATAGTGGAGGTGGGTTGCTAATCTTTTTACTACCAGTTTGGGCATGCTTCCACGTGTGAGATGCTTCTGCGCATGCACAGAAGCGTCCAGGTGTGTGTGTGTGGAACTTCCCATCACCGCTACTTCTGGTTCCGCAGATCTGGGCTGAACTGGCAGCAACCCACCTCTGAATTAATAGTGAACTTGAGAAAAATATCATATGATGATGATAAGAAGAATCTTCATAATTTTGGACCCAATTGTTACATCTTACTTTGGGAACAAATTTGTCCAACAGCAGGAAAAAAAAAATTTTTTTGTTGCCATGGTAGTAAATTCCTTCCCAGAAGGATTGTACTTCCTTCTGGGAAGGAAGTTCATTCTATTTTGTATCATACACTAGGTATTCACAGGAAAATGAATTCTCTGAATAGTCCCAACATGTTAGTCAATAGAATATTACAGGGCTAGCAATATAACGATTTTTTTCTTGCTTTAAATTTTGTGCAGAGCAAAAATATCTTCCTTATGGCGGACTTCTGCATTCAACAAAAATAATTACTACAGTTACAATACTGATGTACAAAGTGTACAAAACATTTACATTTCTTTTTCTTTATATGATTGCTACTGGGATTTTCCATTGTCCTAAAGGTAAGTCAATATTTATGGCCCATTTGTTTTGACTCTATTTGCATCAAGCTCCCAACATTTTCCTGCCTGGTAGCACAACCCATTAATCCACTCATAGCATTATTAGTTATTAACATGTCTCTGTTTGCGTATTCCTGCCTGGGCATGTTGTTCCACCATTTTCAGGAGGTGGGTTTGTACACTGTCTTGTGCGGCTTCTAGATCCCCCTTGACAAGCTGCCCATGGAGTCCAGCAACTCCAGCTACCTTGAACTGGATAACCTGTAACACAGTACACCATGATTAGCAACTTTCATGTAAAACCAGTTTCAGATTTGTTCAATATGTAGAGTAAAACAAAAAAAATCAAATCCATTCCAGTTTATGGATGAACTTGGACATTACTGGCAATTATTAATAAGTAAGAATACCAGCAGCATTATATAGCTTTGCAACACTTATATATTTCTGGAATTGCTGTAGCTGTCACTTACTAAGTTCTGAAAAGTTGGACCATCCTTGATCTAAAAGACACTTATTCCAGAACTAATGCTATTGTATGTTAATCAAGACCAACAATCTTTTGATGTAAGTATGTAGGGAGAGTTCTGTTGAACCAGGCAAGGTTTCTCCTAATCCAGTAGCCATCTTCCTCTAGGAATTCATTAGTGGGATATGAGGGTGGAACTAAGGATGGTAACTTATCTTACCATAGGTCCCATTATTTGACATATATTCCATCAAGGCCATAAGACAAGATTGCCTTATCCTGCTTTAAAAAACCAGTATAACAGCCTGTAAAATGAACGGGAACTGGGCAAATTCACAGCATAATAACAATATAACTCCTTTTCTGATTGTTACAGAGAAGCAGCCAGAAGAGAGACCTAAGACTGTTGCACATTGCATGAATCATGTGTTGCCTGCAATAGTCACAATCATAAAAAGGTATAGAATATTTTCTCTTGTCTGTCAGCCCCTCCTCCTTCCCCAAAAAAACCCCTTAAAGCTGTTTGAAGTTTCAACTTTAAACTGCAATGGGTGGGGAAAAAATAGACTGTTTTAAGAGTTCTTTGTAAGACCCACCTGTTAATCTTCATTTTTATCTGTATTCATTGGAATGACAAATTTATTAGGACTGCATCGACATGATCCAAAATGAACTCAAAGACAACATCACAGCAGCTGTTGTTTTTAGAACAGGGCCTCTCAACTGCAACAACTTTAAGATGTGTGGACTTCAATTCCCATCATGCTGGCTGAGGAATTCTGGAAGTCTACACATCTTAAAGTTATTGAGATTGGGAAATCCTACTTTAGGCATTAGACAATATATTGCCTTGTATCCAAGCATTTTAAATGGGGCAGGCATTCTAAAGTGCTATCTACTGCATTATTTTCTGTGGAGGCTTTTCTTGTGGGGTATTTATTTGATTCACATACTACCTGTCAGCTACTCTATATTTTAATTTTTCCTCAGACCAAAAAAACTGGATTGTAAATTGGGCTGAGCCTGGCTCAGAATCACAGTAATCCTCAATGTTTGCAACTGAACTATAACCCAGGTATATACATGTGCTTTAATCCAATGCCTTAAGCACTATACCACTCTAGCTATAGCTACTTTTATTTTTGTGCTTTTACTCTTTACATACTGTACATAAAATATGCAATTTAGCTCTCTTCTCTGCAACCTAGAGAATGTTGACTGTGGTTGAATGTAAGTACTGTACTAAAAGTTCCCAAATAAATGCTGGTTTTTATGGTGGCACAACCACCATAAATGTATGCATTAGATAGCAGTAAGACATCTTTCCCATTACCTTTCATGGATTGGAAAAAATGTAGGCAAGCAATTACTGACAACAGGAGAACATCAGGTTCTGCTATATATCTATATAATGGGTCTTTGAGAGTACAATGTGTATGAGAGAGAGTATGAGAGATTCCAGATCTATATCAAAGAATTATCTGGAGAACTTGAGGTTGAAGTGACTGACCTGACACAATCCCATACGGAATTAAGTATTACCCATATCCACTAGAATAAATCAATTTAACTACACTTAAATTTGCATAGGGTTAAGCTGCGAGCCTTGGACATCCCCATTAATATTTATCGGGGGCTTTCCTTGGCTCTGCCCTTGAGTCTCTGATATGATTTATGCTCCTGCAGTAAGCTACTTCTACAACGTCTTTAGTTAACACTTCAGACTGACTTGAAATGCCAATCTGATTCCTGGATAAAGCTCCTTTGATAGCCTGGCATACAAGGTGATCCAAGATATTGAAGGTAAATGTTGTTTACAGCCTACTGATCTCAGGAGGTCTCGTTTAACAATGTTTTCTCAAAAGTCTTACCTTTCCTCTTTGTCTCTCCACAGTCAGGACCTAGGTAGCCTTGTTTACACTCACAAACACAGGTAGCTCCCAGCAGGATTGGTTCACCGTTGTTCTTACAGGGACCACAACGGCAGGTATTGAATTCCATTAAATACTGATCTAAAGCCCTTTTCAAGTTTCTCTTCTTGGTTTCCAAATTACCAAGGTTTGTCCTGGACAATAATTCATGTAAGGGCTGCAGCTGAAGAAAAAGAGAAAAAGGAAAACTATTTTTATATTGTGGTTGTTTGGGGTATTACCTCAACCTTGGGAAAGTTGAAATACAATGCACAGAAAGTACCAGGATATCTTGGGAAAGGGCCATTTGTAAACCAATAAAATTAAATGGTTCAGGTACAGATTGGATGGAATGGCAAAATACTTATTTTGATAATCATCTTGATAGATTATTCCAAGATATGAATGGCCCCGTCTGGCTTTTCAAGGATTGTCTCTCAATTTTCTCCTCCTTCGTTTAAACAGCTATATACATTTTTTTTTAAAATCCCAAGAAGCTGCATAAAATCTAATTTGTGTTATTCTTATAGAGAATGGAGGAAACAACATGGCGAAGGAGCCAAAGACATCTTCACATTAAACAAATAGCTCTCATAACTGAAACAATTGGGTTAAATACAGAAGTAGATATAGAAAATGAGGATAATGACTACAGTAAGTCAGCTACCTGAAATTCTCTAAATCTGTGTTGGACTGTGTTGGAAACAACAGGGATTAATGCTATAGGAATTAATTTGGGGAACAAGGGTGAAAAAATAATTAGTTAGGGTGGGATTAATATTTTTTAGCAACCGGTTCTCTGCCCAGTTGCTGGGTGGGCAGCATCATGGTGGAAGGAGGTTTCTGCCTGTTTTTTGCCCTCCTAGAGCCTTCATGCAGGCCTTGCACTTACTTGGCATCCAAAACGGGCCACGTGGAGACTCATGGGAGGGAAGGGCTGGGCTGGGCTGGGCTGGGCCAGCCAGTCGTTGCAACTACTGGTTCAGTGAATCAGAAGTAAAATTAGCATCTGGTTTACCCAACTATTTATTTATTTATTTATTTATTTATTTATTTATTTATTTATTTATTTATTTATTTATTTATTTATTTATTTATTTATTTATTTATTTA